TATATAATATAATACCTACAGACATTTTAGGATATTTATAATTTAATGATTTTTTTTATTGTACATTTGAATGTAAAATAGACATAGCAATATTTTAATTTGCAAGAACTAGAATTAACATTTTTTATTTAATATCGGTTAGTTCCCAATGCTGTAGAACATTTGATAAATCCTGAACGATCCAAATATCTAATTTAGAAGAATTAATTGGGTTATTGTAAAAATCAACTTTTTTTAAAAACTTATATCCAATTATTATTTTATTCTTAGGTTCTGCTAATTGAGCTATATTAACAACTTTTACAATTTCTTTTTTATTAGTAAGTATAAATCTATCTGCCAATCGTTTAATATGTATAGTGAAATTACTCCATTTATAAAATAAAAACTGACTAGAATACTTAAAATTATTTAACATAGGTCCTTGTTGGTGAGTATTTCTTTTAGGCTTACTTGTTTTTGGGAAAATCTCGGTATCCATAGAACAATTATTTTCGTTGTACCTACGATTAATTTGTTGTAGTGGTTGATGATTTTCGTAAGGCAGATTTTAATATTTTCATGTGATTTTCAAAAGGAAAACAACTAGATAAGTCAAGAGGACCAAATTGCTTGTAATCATTTACTATATGTAACAAACCATGTATGTTGTATGAAACAAAATGGTCTCCGTATATATTTTGAAAACTTTTCACAAAATAATGTAACAATTTATCAGCATATTCTATTTTATTACTTTGATTTTTACTCAAAAGAATTATCATAGCAATATTCAATGACATAAAATTATCATAACATTCTTCTGGTAATACATTTTTTAAAACCACAGGGCCAGTATATAATAGGAACTGTCTTAACTCAGTGGCTTTCCACCGAAAAACATCTTGAATTATTCTAGGCTTTCTAAAAAAAAAAACTAGGGATGTATATATTCAGACTTACTAATAATCTACTTATATCATTAATTTTTTTACCATTTAGGCGTACTCTGAGAGGACCTGTATGCATCCGAAGATGTTGTAGTTTACGCATAACTCCTAATAAAACTAAATGCATGTAATCTAATGGGAAGCATTTAACAATATCAAAATTAGGAAGCTCAATTAAATTTGAAGTAATAAATTCTCTAATGAGATGTTGTTTTTGAACCATAGCTACATGATGCCATAGCTACCGTCACGAGTTCTCAACCGACACTATCTTTCTACATATGGAAAACAAGTTCTATAATTTAAATATTCACCTTTGAAAACACCGGGTACATGAAGAAAAACCTGAGTGTCCTTTAATTTTTAAAACAAACGAACGAGCAGGGGAATCACAGCAAAATGTTCTAATTGATACTGTGTATATTATATTTTCCAACTATAACCCATTTAATATTAAATCTTTTGCTTCATGTATAAACTTTTCAAGATAATTATTACTGTCATGGGGCTTACATATAGACAAACCATAATTTGTTTAGAACAAATTGCCAACAAATGTGTATTATATACTAACATTTTGATATTTTGGTTACAGAGACACCCATGACTCTAGGAGATGCAATAAAGGGGGTGACCTGTTACCCCACTAGACATAATATGTGAAATGATAGTATTTTTTTTTAAATTGTAATAATAAACTATTTTCACTGATGATAAACATGACATAAAATTACATACATAGAATATAGCTGGTACATATCGTTTATCTATGTTGTGTATCTATTTTCTGTTATTTAATAAAAACAATTTTGTTGGTTGGTTCTTAGCTATTTTTATGTTATTGTCATCCCCTAGGTTCTGATTGATGGGCACCCTTAGATAGGGGTACAACACTATAATATACATAATAAATTAAAAGTAAAATTTGTTTAATAAATAATTATACTATATATACAAGTATACTGCTAAAACACAGTGTTTACAGGAAATAAATAAAAATACAGTCCATCGAAGTGAATAGAAACATGCTACCTTAAAATATATTTATGTTATATTAGACTTATACTCGCTTATATTACAATTGGTACCTACACCGATAATACAAATAATTAATATTAATACCATATTGATATTTGTACTTGATGTTTCTTCAAATATTTTCCAGTCTACAGTCTACTTAATAAACACATAATCACAATCTCTATTCTCTACCAGAACATAATAATATATTATGTTATCAATAATATAAATACATATTATATTGTCGCAATATTTTTACTTAATGTCCCTTAAAATATTTTACTATCCATTAAATAAACACATTGTTACAATAATTACAATAACATATGTTATCAATAATATAAATAAATATATTTTCCCAATATTTTTACTTAGTGTTCCTTAAAATATTTTATTATCCATTAAATAAACTCATTGTTACAATATTTACAAGAACATATGTTATCAATAATTTTATATAAACGTTGTCAATAACATATAATATAACATATATTGATGTTTCCTACAATAAAATTCTTCAGTATGTGAAAAACATATTATTAAAATATGTTTCAAATATTATTTTTAATTATTTTTTTTTCATATAATAAAAACATACTGTCAAAAGGTGTTTAAACAAAATATTTCCAAGAACATAAAGAAAACATATGTTTACAATATAAATATTTTCTAATTGCTATCTGGGAATAAGAGATACTGATATTGATTCAAATTTAGCATTTACTATGACTAAAAATCAAACAGGCACAACTACAGATAAATGGTAATTTTTAAAAATTATTAAGAGGACGCCATACCCGAATGTTCTGTCTCCGTCTTACAAATGTACAACATAGCAAAAACTGTTTAGCGCGGGACAACTTTTCTCGCACCATATTTGTTGTAGAATTACCAAATTTTCACAACACGTAAAGAAGAACTTTATCTGTGCAACAGCGTGCTTTTTTTTTAATTACACTTTCCAATCATTTTTTATAAGCAAATGAAAAAAACAAAAAAACAAAAAAACAATATGTTTAGAAGCAAATAATTTTTACTGTATTTATGTTATCTAAAATATAGGCACGCTGTTGCATAGATAATTTTCTACTCGATATGTTCAGAAATTTTGGAGCCACTACTACAAACACAGAAAGATAAAAGTTGCCCCGTGCAAAACAGTTTTTGCTATGTTGTTCCTTTGTAAGACGGAGACAACACATGCGGGTGTAGCGTCCTCTTAACAATTAAATATATTGGTTTTAAATACTTGTTATTCTTTAAAAAATACACTTAAAAAAACAGTGCTTGTGGCTTGAATTGTGAAATAATAGGGCCCCCTTAAATTGTTATAAAATATGCTTCAGTATTATTTCTAATTATACCCAATTCAATAAATCATTTACACCTTCAATTTTTTTTTTACACTTTTACATCCCTCTTCTACCTTATTTCTAATAATAGCACCTCTTAAAAATCACAAAACTTTGTTATACAAAAAAAAAAGAGCGTAATTATATATAAAACAATAGTTAATTGAATTAAAGTTAATAGTTAATGTTATAATTAGGGTTATGAATTTAGTGCACTAAAAAACCTTAAAAAATTTATTGAAAATGCGAAAAATTATAGTATGAAATGCACTTAAAATGTTCTTTAATTAAACTTTTATATTTAGATTGATATTAGTATATTATATTCTATATCATTAAAATGATTGAAACATATATTTTAGGAAGTTGAATCTCTTGATTATCATGTGCCATCTAATGAAGAGTCATTTAAACTAGACAACAATGCTGATATCCTTAAAAAATAAACTTTGTTAAACAACATCTTATTCAGCCATCACTTTTCAGTAATATCCAACTAGATCTACAAAAGCTTTATTTTAGAAAGACACCAGATGACAAAAAAATTGCACGAAAGTGGTTATCAGTGCTATGTGTTAATAGTGAGCTCAAAGCAATATACTGTCCGACTTGCATTGCGTTTAGTTCATCTGCTACTACATTTTCTAACGGATGTAAACATTTCAAACATATTCATGAAGTTGTTAAAATACATGAAGAATCATCAACTCACAGGATAAGTAAAAGCCTTTATTCAATCATCTAATGATAAATCTATTGAATTTGGTATCAATAACAATTTAATGGCGTTAAAAAAAAATCAAATAATAGATAATATCCATGTTTTAAATGAAGTCTTTGAAATAGTTAAATTTCTTGGTCGTCAAAATTTGCCATTCGGAGGTCCTAAAAACTCCCAAAGCTTATATAAGTGGGACGATGAAGACAATTTAAACAAAGGAAATTTTTTGGAGTTGGTGAAGTTTACAGCTAAACGTGATGCTACGTTATACAAACATTTGAATTCCGCTATAGAGAACAGCAGCAAACGCAGGAAAGTAATCTTGGAAAAGAAATCATTACCTTCTTGTGGTAGGGGTACTGGTAACTTTACTGTTACAATTTGAGCCATTTATTGATACAAATTAAAAAAATCAACAGACAATCTGAGACCAGATAACAGGGATAAATCATAAAATATTATTGAACTAACAACTTAAATGTCTTATTAAAAAAACATAACAATTTCTTAAATATAAATAACAATTTATATATAATGAATATTGATCAGTCTCACTCTTTGATAAATATCACATGATGATTTAAATTACAGTAAGGAACTTAAACCTATTTCTTTTCAACAACAGAGATAAATCATAAAATATTCTTAAATTAAAAACTTAAATATCTTATGAGAAAAAAAAAAAATTTCTTAAATATAAATTACACTTTTTATACAATGAATATTGATCAGTTAGGTTCCCATGTTAACCTAATATCAATAAAATTGTTTTACCTCCATACATTATCATGCATTAGTTACATTAGAGTGATAACAAAAATTATAATTAATTGTCAACTAATATATCTTTCAAATGATATATAAATCATTATGATTATGCAAACATTATGTGTTAAAGATATAAAGCTATTTCACATATTTTTTAAAGCTCTTAAAATGTATTAGTTAATTAGACAATTAAAATATGTTCTCCTTGAATTATGCTGCCGATTTCTTACAGTTATTTTCACAAGTGTGATAACTAATGAAATTACTTGATAATGGTATCAAATATTGAACACCAGTGATCAGGCCCGTGCAACTCAACTGAAAATACATACTTACAAAAACGCTTTTATTAAGGAGCAAACCGGAACGGGCGCTCTGCTGCGCTCTAGCGGTTTATAAAACTACACAATATTTGACATGATAATATAAGTAGTCAACATTTAAATAAATAATAAATATACGATTTTTAAAATTTTAGTCGTTATGGTTTAATGTTTAAAATTTATGTTAAATTAATTAAAATGTAATTCCTATCAATATTTTGTTTAAAACTATGTTGTACAAAATTTTGCTAGTTTTTTCTTCTTTGTGTTCGTTTTAACAATTTCCCGATTCACTGTTCTTGACCATTGTTTCATTCGCATACTCAAGTAATACTTAATTGCATAGGCAAAAATCTCATATTTGTGTTCGGGACATGGAAAATTAAATCTTTGAAAATGTTCAATTAAATCATCTACAGTTTTATTATAGACGTCTGGGCTTTTAATATTTTTCATGAAGCAATCTTCTACAGCACTTATGAATTTAAAAAATATAATATTTGGGTGAGTAAGTTTTCCTTTTGATTTTAAATTTGTTAATTCTGCTGCATTAACATTATTTATAGGTGGCAAGTGTGTGACAAATGCTTGCTTGCATATAACACATTGTGTCTTTTTGCCAATTTGAAAACACAAGTAACCGGTGATATAATATTTTAAGCAGTCAATTACTTGTGCATGAGCATAATCATGTTCAATGATGTCAGTGAATTCCCATGTTCCATCGTCAATTAATGTATCTAGCTTGTTTTTCAAGTTTTCTAAGGCTGTCGGTGATTTTTTATCATTATGATATATACTCTTGATGTCTGATAAACGTATTAGATTGGATCCAGGGTCCATAATATTGATAGAACAGTTGCCATATTTTGGAGGTTTTATAATAGAATATACAGAAAGTAATTTATATACTTGAAGGAAGGTAGGGGTGGCAGGGTGGTCATTAGCCCCAGATGCCATTCGAACTGTACCAAAAAATCTCTGTAAAATGTAAATAGATATTAGTATAAATTTATAAAATGTTTACACTGTATTGTAAGTACTTCAAGTGCATCTTGGTTTATTTTTCCAGATAGAACATATTTAAATCCAAATTTGTCTATTAAGTAATCTGTTAATTCAATACAAGAGTTCAGTGTTACACGTAAACCTTCAGAAGTACTT